TTTGCAAATAAAGTCTGTACTGCAGCAATTCTGTGTCTGTATTTTTAAAAATCAACTGTAAATTTTATTAAGCAATTTATTTCTTTATTTTTGCATTGAATTTTTGCAGTAAAAGAAAGAAAATGCCTGCATTTATTAAACCAACAAAATGAAAATGTAGAGAGTCTTAAAATATAAGGGCAGAGCTGACACATAAACTAATGCAGTTTCTGTAATGTCAGCTGATGATAGTGTTTTTATTGTCAGTGTTTTCTGATTGACTGAATGTTTCTGTTGAAAGAGAACATGTGTTTGTGTTTTGAACAATTATTTCATTTTGAAACATGTTTGCAGTGTTTTGTTAGACATAGTGTAGTGTGTTAGTTTATTATTGTATTTTGAAAAGAAGTTTAGAGGTTTAGTTTACAATGTGTGATTTTGAGCATGAAATTAACTGTTTTGCCAATTGTGTGTTTTAGGTGTGTTGCTGCGTTAAGAGTTTAGCAAACTTGTTAAATGTATTGGAAAAACTGTCATAGCCATTGTAAAAAACTGTAATGATATATGATTAAATCTGTGGTCTAAAAGTGTGGTTATAATGACCATTCTACAAGCTAATCCAGCAAATAACAGTGCTTAAAATGTCTCTATAGGCCTGAAGCCAGCCTGGTGAAAGGGGTGGTTCTTTTTTCTTAAAATAATGACCTGTTTGCAGTTGTTTGCCTTATTTTCTATTTAATTATAAGGTTTAATTATGTTTAAGCACTATTTTTGCAGGATTAGCTTGTTGGATGGCCATTAACCACACTTTTTGATGTCCCGAAAACATTTCCAAAAGATTTAGAAGAAAACAATATGAGAACAATACTTATATTTCAAATACAAATGTATTAAATCATTTTTGTTAGAAAAAAAAAATTGATTAAATGCATATAGATTAATTATTATAGATTAAAACTAGCCAAATTGTCATTTATTAGGCAAAGCACATTTAACTTTCCTCAGTCATGCTTAAGCAACAGCCAAAAGAGGATTCTGCTTGGTCTTAAAACCTTCTTCGATGGTTATTTTCACTGTTTTATGGTTATTTTATGATGGCATAGCAGTCCAAATAGGACATACATTTAAATTATGGGATAAATTCTGGAGCTTTGCAGGGGGCCTGCTCTAAATGCAGTATTTAAATCTCATAATTAAATAGAAAATTAGTCGAATATCTGCAAAAAGGTCCACCTTTTGAGAAAAAAAGAGTCACCCCTTTCACCAGGCTTGCTGCAGACCTGTTTGTTTGTTTACATTCAGCCCATATACATTGTTTGCAGCCACTTAACATTTAGTGAATCTAATGAATCATGATTTTCGGTGTCCTGTAACAGACTTATGAAGGAGAAACTACATTAAACATTTGACAAAACTTACATTTGCACGTGTCATCGACGAGTGTGTGCTGAAGACGAGCTTGTTTCTTCATGCAAAGCAGATTTGAGGACTGAAATTAAATCGATCGGCATAATTTTATACTGACAACAGGAGGGTTAAGATCTCAAAGATATGAAGGGGAAAAAATTAAAACTCTGACTGGACTTCCCTAAATCTATACTACGCTTCTATTTATAATCTTGTCCTGCATTTCTTCGCTGATTCAGACTGTCTTGTCCCATCACGCTTCACCGGCAAAACCGCATTGATTTGTGCGCAGCGGCGCGTGTGTGTGGCGCGCGTTCACGATACACAGGCTCGCGCACTAAGCTCAATGCGTGAGCCCCTCAGCAGTGCACTTCTGACTCCGGGAATATGAAGGTGCCACTCGAAGGTAAGAGCAGCATTGTATTTTGTACTTAAATAGTTATTTAAATGTTTTATTATTATTATTATAAACCGAACATGTTGATATGTCAGGCATAGGTTTTTATAATCTATACTACATGCATAATACAATGCAATATAAAGACACCAGCAGCAAGCTTTATTTTA